AGATGCCAAGATTTATGTTGGAAGGCCCAGGACTGTGATTAATCTTTCGTTTTGCGATCACTCGCAGTGCGTTAATTGCATGAACAAAACGTTTCTGTTGGTTAATCTATGAGAAAAATAAAACACAATACGTTAACAGCTATAGCGTTTTATGCATGGTTAAAGCAAAGAGCGAAAAACAGACGAGGAACTTTGTCTAGCTTGATAACCATTTCATTGATTACAAGCTATGGTCACACAGATATGCTTTGAAAGTTTTTATACATCAAGCCGTCAGTATTTAATAGAGACTCGAAATAGAAAAAAATTAATTTACTTCCCAATGTTTCTATTTGATTGTCTTTTGAAACAGATATTAATTTCAATTTGTTTTGACTTAATATTGAACCTCCTATTGTCTCACTTTTGGTTTCATTTTCATCAGAACACGGTAAGTTTATAAACCGTCAGCTGTTTTTGTCTAATAGCGTTGGTTGCACATATAACAAGTATAGTTGATGCTAAATACTTGAAATTTACACTGGGATAGGTTTCCATGAATACTTGCGACTTATTTTTTTCTTGTCGTAAGAGCGGAAAGTTAAATCACGCGAATAATTGTTTGGAAGCATCGTTTGCGCAATACTAATTCGCTGAACTTTCCTACTCTTCTACTTTTCAGAGGAAAAGGTCCTGTTATTGACGCGTATTCAATTTGGTTTCATTCTGGTCGACTAACCAAAACAAGTGAGTGTAAATCTATTGTTATTGACGCATATTGATTTTGGTTAACTCTGGTGACTCACCAAAGCTAGTGAGTATAAATAATAATTTTACCTTTGCAATGCAATACAATGCAATACTTTATTTCGACACGTCACGTACAAGCTCGTTCAAAATACGTACGTGCATTGTTAAAATACAATATTTACGTGATTTAATATTGTCGTGACATATTCATAATAGACTGAAAGAATGATGTAAACTGTTCAGGGTCAATTTCCTTTTAAATTTTCAACACAAAGTCAAAACGTGAGAGAATTTGTGACCGCAACGTCGACGTTAATCCCTAACTACTTTTAAGTCTGACGTCATGTTTTTAAAGACTAATCAAAAGCAGTTATAAGTAGCGACGTTGGTGTGACCGAAACAAGATAAACAAGCTGTTTTAAAAACTCCTTCCGTTTAACTCGTTTGTGTTTACAGACACACCAGAAAACTAAATTAATTCCTCCAGTCATTAAGTAGCCATGACTTGCACTTTTCATACCCCATCCCGCCCCTCAATATTAAATGTATCCCGCATTTCCTAGTTGAACGGAACACATGCTGCTTAGGCCAAGATATGTTCATCCCGAATCCCGCTTTCCACATCCCGCTTGGATTTTGAGTTTATCTCGCATCCTGTCAAGCTGACGTTTTGACACTCCAGAGACTACGAAATACATCTTCCATTCATGACGCATTATGATAATCAGTGTTTTCTCGAAATTTCTAGGAACCCTTAAGCGATTTTCCTAGTTTCAATTTCCAAAGCAAGTTCCGACGTGGTAAGTACAGCTCTAGCTAACTTTGCATCGTCTGGTTTCTCTCTTAACTAGTTAAAATAATATATAGCTGTATTGTGATAGCCACGAAATTCGAACAATCATAGAGTGATGATCAACTGCACGCTCTATTGTTTGCCAGTAAACAACAAAGTTTGTGGTTCTGTCAGTCCTGATGTCTGTTGTCATCGAAAAACAGAGTTTGAAATCAATCAAATCGTATAAAGTACATTGTAAAGTAAAAACTGACGAAAAGTAAATTCACGGTCTTCCATATTTTACAACAAAACGAT